GGAGAAGAGGACAACAAACGAGGGGCTGTGACAAACTGTTTCGTCGGAGTTTCACCGACTCATCAGGAGGCTGAACCCTCAACAGTCTGCAGAATCCCCTCACTGATTATATATATATATATATATATATATATATATATATATTTGTAAATTTTATTTTTTATTCTAAGTTTTGTGAAAAATTTCGATGTGACCATGAGGCAAAAGTTGTTCAATTTACTATTTTTCTGCATAACAGAGTTTGTTTATCGAATTTCTTGGATTTTTTTTTTTTTTTTTATTTTTTTTATTTTTTTTGTGTTGGCCTAGTGTTTTTTTTTATTTTTTTTTAATATTTTTATTGATTGCTGGAATGGTGGATTCATTGCATGGTTGGGATTGGAAACCCCCCCTGCAAGAGTTTCTCAACCGATTAATCATTTATTTTATTTTATTTTTTTTACATAATATTATTGATTGACTGATTGACTGACTGTCGAGGGCCGCCCCTCCACCCGCGTGTGCACACATACACACGTGTTTTTTCTTTTTGATTTTTTTATTGATTGATTGATTAGTTGATTGACTGGTTGTGTTGGGGTCGCCTCTTCCTGCTCGGGCACATACACGCATGCACAAACACATACACACACACGCATATACACACATACAAACATACACACACAAAGAGACAAACATATAGTACGCAATCAATTTTATGTATATCCTTCCATTTTTTTTCCCCTTTTTCTTATGTTTTTTGTCTTTTTCCTTTTTTTTAAAAGTATTTCTTGTATTCCTAGTTGAGCACTCTTAAGTTAAGTCAAACAATCAATCATTCCTTGTTGGGAGTGTCTATGACACTTTTAGGGGCGGCGCTCAGTTCGGGTTGTCTGGGTCTCCTATGGATGGTGACAAATGTTCGTCTGAGTGACTCCCTGGCTCAATGGGTGGTGAGAACCAACAGTCAGCGGGGTCCACCCGTGATGTGAGCAGGTCATGTGCTGCTTTGCTATGTATTGGATATGTGGACTACCATGACATGAGCGACTCTTCGAGTCCGCCGCTGCCTTGCTGTCATTTTTGGCATGTTGTTGTAAGGTTGTGTTGTTGGTGTTGCTGTGCACTTCGCTTCCTTACCACCTATCGACAAACTGTGCCTTCCGTGTCGTTTTCTTGTGTGTTTTCTAGTCCGGTTGCCTTGTTGATGTTGCCTTATGGTTCACTACATGGTTGTCGTGTTGTTCATTTGCTCGCAATGTCGTTCCCTGCAACATGGTTGCCTTGCTTGTGTTGCTTTGTGCTTCAATACATGGTTGTTGTGTTATTTGTCAACTTGTTGTTTCGTTTCTTGCAGTCGTTTTTTACATTGAGCAGCCGTGTTTTCCGTTACGGCATTGTCTGGTGCTTCATCGGGTTGCTGTCCGCTGTCGTATTCCGTTTTCGAAGATCGCCTTGCTTGTGTTGCTTTGTGCTTCAATACATGGTTGTTGTGTTATTCGTCAACTTGTTATGTCATTTCTTGCAGTCGTTTTTTCATTGAGCAGTCGTTTTTTCCTCTACGGCATTGTTTGGTGCTTCATCGGGTTGCTGTCCGCTGCCGTATTCCGTTTTCAAAGATTATCTGTCTTCCACGAGGGTCAACGAGTCGTGACCCAAACCATCCAATACGGAGATTCCATAGATTGTTGAAAATTCAGCCTCTTAATAATTCGGTGCAAGTCCAACGAAACAATCTTGTTATCATCAACTTTTATTTTTTTTCAATTTATGGTTTTTATTTTTATTTGTTTTTTTTTTCTTATTTAGCTCATTGTTGTTTTCCTTGCTGCCTTGTGTTGTTGGCCTGCACACACACATACATACATACATACATACACACACGCACACACATACATACCTACACACACATACATACACACACACATGCACATACATACACATACACACATACATGTACACACACACACATACATATACACACACACACATGCTCGTAGGACAACGAGTTTTTTTTTCCAGTTTTTTCATTGATTGAATCATTAATCGGTTATTTAGGGTGGGGTTGCCCTACCTCGCAAGTCCCCCCAATGAAGGAATGAATCAATCAAAATCCAGTTTTATTCTAGACTACCAGCTGGGCCGCCCGGGTCCCGGGTGGCCAGCCCATGCAAGGATCAGGTAAGGTCCCAGCAAAAAAAAAAAAAAAAAAACAATTAAAAAAATCCAAAAATTATGAAAACACACTATGTTATGCAGAAAAATAAACTGAAGAACTTTTGCCTCAAGATCACATCGAAATTCTTCACCAAATTTAAAAAAACAAATAAACTTCAAAAATATATATATATATATTTTAAATTATTTTGGTCCGGCCAGACAAGTGACCCCGGGCCACTCTGGTAGCCTAGGTTTTATTTTATTTTTATTATTATTATTATTATTATTTTTGTTTTTACATAATATTATTGATCCAATGATTGATTGATTGATCGATCCATTGACTGATTATATACAGGGTGGCCGGGGTTCGGGACAGGCCGAACGCCCCAACCCGAATGCCCTAACGTACGGGACTCCTTGAGGATGTGTCCGAGCGTTCAGACTGAACGCGGACCAAAATAAACTATTTGAGGTACCAAAATAAAATCACAACAACAAACGGAAAGTAAAAAAAAAAAAATGACTAGATGAGCATGTTTTAACACCACCATCTCAAACAATTTTTTTTTCTTCTTTTGCCTTAGCAAAATTCCTTGAAAGTTTATGTGCGTGTAGCACATGTCCTTTAAAACTTACAAAAAAACTTTCAACAAAAAAAATCATTTTTAGCCCCAAACTATTTTTTGGCGGGGGAGGCTTCGGCCCCCGAACGCCCGAATGTTCGGAGGTTAGCTCAAGGCCCCCCGAACGTTTGGGGTCACTTGCCCGGCCGGGCCAAAAACATTCAAAGAAAATAAAAATAAAAAAGTTATTTTAAATTTGTATTTTTTATTTTTAATTTGGTGAAGAATTTTGATGTGACCTTAAGGCAAAAGTTGTTCAGTTTATTTTTCTGCATAATATAAAATTTTGGGGGAGTTTTTGGATTTTTTTTGTTTTTTGTTTTTTGGTGGGACCTTGCTTGGTCGTTGCACGGCCTGACTACCCGAGACCCGAGCGGCCCGGCTGGTAGCCAAGAAAGAATATCTTAAAATTTTAATTTTTATTCTAAATTTGGTGAACAATTTCAATGTAACCCTGAGGCAAAAGTTGTTCGTTTAGTTTTCTGCATAACGTAGGATTTTTTTTTTTTATTTTTTTTTTGCTGGGACCTCCTTGGTCCTTGCATGGGCTGGCCACCCGGGACCCGGGCGGCCCGGCTCGTAGCCTAGTGTTTTGCAGAATAATAATACAAACAACTTTTGCCTAGGAGTCGTACCGGAGTTCCCAACGAAGCTCAATTTATAAATTAATGACCTTGATAAAACTTGATAAAATATATACATATATACAGGATCACCAGCCCGTACGTACGGAGGTCCCTGGGCCAACTTCTGTACGTACGGGCGTTCGGGGTCCCGTAAGGGGACCGAACCCGACGGCGTTTGACCCCCGCCAAAAAAAATTTCGGGGCCTAACAATACTGTTTTTTTTCTTAATTTGGTTTTTTGAGTTCTCTATGATGTGAGGTACATGCCTATTAGTTTTCACGTCATTAGGCTTGGCCAAATAAGAATTAAAAATTGTCAAAGAAGGCGGTGTCAAAACGTGCTCACCGACGTTTGTTTTCACTTCTTACTTTTGTTTTCGTTTAGTTCGGGGTCTAAACAAGTTTATTATTTTTGAAACTTTGAAATAGTGACAGGGTGACCGATGAGGAGTGGGAGTCGTCAGTCAGCTTTTTTTGTCATTTCTTTGCTTTCCTTTCTTTTCTTTCTTTCTCGTTTGGCCTACTATAAGGCGACAAGTCCTATCGAAGATGTGGGCGTGCCGGCTCGTTACGTGGACGCACGTATGGCGTCGAACCTTGGTTTGATAAGTACGATGCCCGATCAGGGCAAGGCTTGTACATTTGTCTATTCTTGGTGTGCAATTTGGCGGCGGGAACCAGGTTCTCCCTAGACCCAATTCTGCCAACTACTCAGACCGGCCCAGTTACCAGGAAATTTCTGGCACCTGGGCCAATGGTTGCGCGGCGTATCGTTTACTGAGCGATAGTACTTAAGACCATTTATAGAGGTAGAAATCCTCTTTCATGACCAACGCGTTCCTTACATCGGCATTTCCGGAAATGAAACCCCTGAAGATGACTGCGTGGCGACAGTCGAAACGCGTCGGGAAGCCTATTCTGAGATATTAAAGCTTTCGACTGTGTTGAGTACTATTGTCCTCGTCAGCTTTGATTGCATCAACGTGTGACTACGTGCATCTGAATGAGTGTGCCTGTTTTCACCATTACATCTGTCAAGTCACATGTGAACTGTCTCGGACCAAGCTGAGATAAGTGAGCATGCACACCTACCAAGTAGGAAACTGTCGAGATTCGAAGCACGAGTGCATTTGAGTGTATTGGAGCGCTCCGGGCGTATGGAGTATGGCGAATGAAGACCGGAGAGGCGATCAGGATGGCAACAGGAGCGGAGTTGGAGATCGGGACCACAACAGGGACCACGATCGATACTGTGACTGAGACCAAATTCAAGTCAGGAACCGGACAGCGATCGGGATGGAGACCATGAACGGGGGCAAAGGCATGGACCACCTCGATGTTTTAGGTGTAAACGAGTTGGGCACTATGGGAACCAGTGTAACTCGTTTGATGCCCCTACGGGCCACGGCATCCGGTGACTCCCACCGAGCAAGGTCGTCGTCGCCAAGACGTGGACATCAAGGGCGTTCCTCTTCATCCGGCGAATCACGCCGTACGACCGAGATTGAGATTTTGGAACGTAACGTTGCCAGTTTTGAGGAAAAGATTCAGCTAATACGTTCGAAGAAGGAGGAGAAAGAAGCCAAGAAGAAGGCGAAGGCACTCACCAAGCAATGTGAAGAAGCGGAGCGAATTGAGCGAGAGCAAAGTATCGCTAAGAAGATCGAGAAGGAGAAGCGAGCGGAAGTTAAGCAGATGGAACTAGCTAAGAGTGTTGAGGTACAACTATCTTTGAAGATTGGGGAGTTACGAGATGACATTCGGCAGGAACTACGTCGGGTCATCAAGGGAAAGAGCAAGGCGAAGGCGCCGACATCCAGCGATGACGATTCGGGCAGCGGTAGCGACGATGGTACGAGTGAGCTGAGCCCCCCTACCGGCCGGCTGACGATCAATGAAAAACGGAAGTGGGGGGAGGAGCCGTTTTTCGAGGATAGCCCTCCATTGGTCATCCTGCCAAAATGTACTCCCGCCAGGCGTACCGTGATGAAACCCATCAAGTTGACTCCACGTTTGAAGTCTCACACTCTGAAGACGAAGTCCCATGCCAAAGTGAAGACACGTTGCCGACGAACGTCGACCTTGAGACTGTGCGGCGTGTGGAACGGTCAGGCGATTTCGATGCCTTGAGACTGTGCGGCATGATCTAAGTGATTATGATGCCAAAACACTTGAGGCAATGTGTAAGGGCGTCGGAATCGAGTACTGTGGGAAAATGCATGCGATCTTCAATATCGCCGACTAGAAGGCCAGTGTGGCGTACGGATCCGAACAAGAATCAGGAGCAGCGGAGAAGGAGTCTGTCGAAGACGATGTGGATACCGACAGTGAAAACGGTGGGGATAAGGTAACTAAGACTCCTAATCACGAGTAAGGGTGCGCGACTCTGCGGCGTCAATACCATTACCTGTGTAATGTACGGAAGAAGCTGAAGAATGTGGAACCCACGATTGAAGCGGTTGTACGACTACTACTCGTCATTAAGTTGACTTTACTCGGCGGAATCAGGTGGTGCAGTAAGTTTGTGGCGACTTGATGTACGACTATTTCGTTCGACTATTCGAACGATACTGAATTTCCTTCTTGGAGAAACTGTGCTGTGTGTATGCGGCAGTCTCCCCAAATTGCAAATCGCAATATATTGGTAAGACTGTTCGTAACACCAACACTCGATGGCGTGAGCATCTTTATGCTAGCAAGAATCGAGGTCAGTCTCACTTTTATCGATGGTTAGCTAACTTTGGTTGGGAGCAGTACGTACTAGTTCCTATTGACATAGTTAGCGCTCATGAACTAGAGGAGCTCGAGTCTTTCTATATTTGGTATTATTCCCCGTTTCTGAATTCGACTGGTGCACGAAGAAGAAAGCGTATCTGTAAAAAATGTCGAATTGGACGGAGAGAACAGATTTGCAAGCAGTTGACAGTGACTGTTAAATGTTCGAGACCCCTTATTCCGGTAAGGGTCAGACGCCGTGGGCAGCTTGATAAGTCACTGCATGTTCTTGAGTGTCTTAGAGACGAATTTAAATTGAAACATCAGAATTTCGTTCTGCCATTTTCGGGCGGGAATGCATGGTTTGACACCTGGCATACTATCGTTGTGGATTTCGAAAAGTCCACTGTAAGAGTTGATGGCTGTGTTCGTAACCTGAGTTGCTGTAAGGGTGCTTTCGAAGCGGGTGGTTGCTTTCAGTTCATATTTCTACGGAGATGGAAACCAACCAGCAGACCATTAAAAGGCATTCTGGTTTTGATCTTGCGTAATCCAAAGCAATTGGACTATATATGGACGTGAAGGCTGAATAATCTTTTGAAACTGTATAATGTTGTTAAGGACTTCAGTCGGAATTCCACTAGGTGTTATCTTCGGCGTTTGTTGGGGCGTGTTTTTCGTGATAAGCACGACATTCATGTCAATTCTGATCTGATTATTCGTATCGGTTTTGACGATCGCATTAAATTTTCGGAAGTACGGAAAGTGGTGAATGATGGGTTGATGGAGTGCCAGCTCCCTTCGTGCTTCGCCAAGCGTGCCCGTCGGAAGGTTCGCACGGTCTGGACTAAGAATCCTATGGTAGGGGACATTTTGCACAATTAGACGACTTATGCCTCTAAAAGTGTGTTACCCTGTAGTTGTTCAGGCATGTCCGCTCATAAGGAGCATGGACACGTGCGCTTCCACTCGAGCACTATCGAGGGTCTGCATCCGTTGATGTATAATACCAATAACATCCTAGTCGATAGGAAGAAAAGTCGGATCATGAAGTTGCTTAAGGAAATCAAAGCTGGGTTTTCTCAATGGAAGAACTGCGGTATTGTACCTACACTACGTGTTGCAACAGAAAAATCCCCACGAGAAATAAAAGTTGAAAAAACATTCTTAAAAAAAAAAATCCTTCATATTTATAAATTATCATTCCAATGTTCGTCCAATTCTAAAATTTTCAGTTTTATTTGATAAGTTCCCGTCTAAATATGAGTTTCCCTTCCAACTACATCTATTTGTTCAAGATGGAATGGAAGTCTGGACGAGTTTATGAAATATTTGAATTAAACTTTCATTCTACTACAACAAATATCTTCTAATTTAGATTGGATTAACTTGTTTATGACTGAAAATCTTTACTTAGAATGACAATCCAATTAAAATATTTCATGAATTCGTCCAGACTTTCATTCCATCTCTAGCATGCAGTTCAAATAAGAAGGGATACCTCATTCTTGGAAGGAAACTTTTCAAGTAAGAAGGAAAATTTTAAAATTGGAATGACATTTTTTAAGATGGAAAGAAAATTTGAAATTTAGAATGTAATTTTAATATAGAATGATTATTTAATTCCTGGAAATTTTTCTGTTGTGAGGATTTCTCGTCTTGCTTGGTTAAGGGTGAGGATACCCCTGTTGGTTCCTTACCACGATCTATGGTCGACAATTGGAAGAAGTGTCTGGATGGGTTGGTCATGACACCGCTCGACCGTAACCCGGGTGAAACTCTGGTGCTCTGCCCTCAAGTCTACTACGAAGCTATGATGAACACGTTTGTTCGTAGCTCAGGCTATGTAGTAGTTGACCAACCTAAGGATCAAATTTTGAGGACAGCATGGGAGGAGGCACTGCTCTTAGACTTGAGGCATTTTGTCAAGTGGGACAAATCTGGGTCACTTGTATGTGTTGTCGAAGCACAAGGATCTGGATAGGTACAACCCTATTTGCCCTACGTTCAAGGAGTCAATGGCTAGGACGGGTAGGGCTGTGTCAAAAGCATTAAACCACATGTTGTTTTTTCTGCCAAGAAATTCGCACTTTAACTTGCCAGCTATCTCACGGTTTGCTGACAAGTTGAAAGTTATCAATGCAAGCATTGAACGGAATCGTAGGTACTTACGCATTCTGGCTTTTTCGTACGATATCAAGGATATGTTCAGTTGCCTCCCGCACGAATGTATCCTTGAAGCAGTCAACTGGTTGACCGAGATTTACCTTAAGAAGGGTTGTAAGTCAATACGAGTTAACACACGAGGGAGTGGGTCATCTTTTGGCCTCACAATAGGTGGGGACCAGTGGAGGAAACTGGACATCGACGATATCTGCAGTTTTGTACGACTGGAGCTTATGCATACATACACTCGTGCTACCAATGTTTTGTTGAGACAGGTCATCGGTATACCAATGGGCAAGATTATTAGCCCACCGTTGGCCTGCATCATGTGTGCTCATGCGGAATTCCGATTCTTATCTGGACTCGGGAGGAAGAACTGTTTGGTGTTTGATACTCATTTAGTCGACGATGTCTGTTTGGTTGTTGCCCACTCTTGTGACGTAGATGTAGCGCGTATTCAGGCGAGTTTCTAGAAATGCTACCCAGACAACTTGACACTGAAACAGATGGATGAGGGGAACCAGGATTGGGATTTCCTGGGCTGTGAGGTTCGCGTTCGACAATTCTTTTCATACGTGAGTTGTGTTCAATTGTCAAAAGGCGAGAACTGCATCTGGTCAGAGGATGACTTGGAGTTCAAAAACGAACAGTCATTTACATCATGGGGAGGAAAAAGCCAGAAAAGTGCCGCCATTGGAAGCCAATTGCACATAATTGAGCAGAATACCACTATTCGGAGTGAAATCCTGGTCTGAGTCCTGACCCTTAAACGTGAGTTATGTATGAAGGGTGTACCTGCTTAATTTTTCCTGAGAGTTTTGAAAAGATTTGCGTTTAGAAGGGATAAGGTTTGGGAAACCACAGTCCAACTGATTGAATCAACCAGTAGTGTGTTTGAATAGCGAGGGAACTGGTCTAGGGCGATGAGCACCGTTGGACAGGCAGGAGTGTACAATGGTATTGTGTTGTATGGTGTGGGCAATCCATGAGACTCTTTGCTTTCCTTTCTTTTCTTTTCTTTCTCGTTTGGCCTACTGTGAGGCGACAAGTCCTATCGAAGATGTGAGCTTGTCGGCTCGATACGTGGACGCACGCATGACGTCGGACCTTGGTTTGATAAGTAGGATGCTCGATCAGGGCGAGGCTTGTACATTTGTATGTTGTTGGTGTGTAATTTGGCGGCGGGAACCAGGTTCTCCCTGGACCCAATGCTGCCGACTACTTAGACTGGCCCAGTTACCAGGAAATTTCTGGCACCTGGGCCAGTGGTTCCGAGGCGTATAGTTTACCGAGCGATAGTACTTAAGACCATTTATCGAGGTAGGAATGCTCTTTCAGGACCAACGCGTTCCTTAAGTTGGCATTTCCGAAAATGCTAACACTTTAGGAGCACGGAGGAGGGCGAGAGGTGGAATGGCGTTGTGGGGTTAGATGGTGGTAAAACCCCCTGAAGATGACTGCGTGGCGGCAGTCGAAACGCGTCGGGGAGCCTATTCTGAGATATTAAAGCTTTTGACTGTGTTGAGTACTATTGTCCTCGTCAACGTTAATTGTGTCAACGAGTGAGTGCGTGCATTTAAATAAGAGTGCCTGTTTTCAACATTACATTACATTTGTATTATGTGAAGTGCACATTTGTAAATTTTCAGGGCATTTAGCTATGCCAAAAAGAAATGAAAAAACACCAAAGATGGCGGTGTCGAAAACGTGCTCCCGCACTCACTAAATATAGTTCTCATTTTTTTTTCCATATTTTTTTTATTTTTTTATTATTATTATTTTTAGTTCACGTTCGGCCTGAATGGCCGAACACATCCCCAAGGGTTCCCATACGTTCGGGCGTTCAGGTTCGGGCATTCGGCCCATCTTGAATGTCGGTTACCCTGTATATATATATATATGAGTCGGTGAAACTCCGACGAAACAGTTTGTCACAGCCCCTCGTTTGTTGTCCTCTTCTCTCTCTCTGCCTACGGTTTACCGGGCAGCTCTGTTTGTGACGATATATATATACTAGCTAAGCGCCCGCGGTGCGGGCGGTGCGGGCAATGCCTGCAAAAAAAAAAAAAAAAGGTAGGACCAAACCAACTGCTAAATTTCAGCATTGTTAACTAATTCAAGGAGCACAACACACATAGAGAGACAGAGAAAGGGAGAAGGAAACAAAGAGAAAGAGAGGGAGAAAGGAGGAAGAGAGATAGAGAGACACAGACAGAGAGAGAAAGAGGAGAAAGAAAAGAAGAATGTGATTGGAGTGGCTTGGTCGGAAGGTGCCTGAAGTGGCTCAATCAGTAGGTGTTTGGATTGGCTCGGTCGGTAA